TTGCCACAGCGAAATGCAGAGGCTCCCTCCTGCTGGCAGTCACCCTGGGGCTCACCTGAACTAAGTCTGTCAGCTTCTCTCCAGTTTCCAATGTAGGGCCGCCACTCCCAAATAGTCTTGAGATGGTGTTTCCAAGTTCTGCCTTATCTTTCTACTACCTTACCTTTCCAAATCTCACCCTAAGGAGGAGAAATCCAAGGGGTCTTCTGCTTGGAAATCCCACCACATCCATGGATTTCACCCCTTTTTAATTGGTAGACCTCTCCATTTTTTTTCTAATGGGACTGTGGCCTTTAGCACAATATGAAATTCTGTGGTGGCAGCAGCCTTGCTTTGTGCAGGTGCTCCAGCACTAGGCATAGACTGACCAGGGCAGGTTTGAGGAGATAATGTGGAAGTCACACCTCTGAGGAAGAGGCATAGCACATCTCTGTAGCCAGTCGATATTATGGTGAATTTTTGCCCCCAGAGTTGGAAAGACATGTACACTGAGAGTAGGTGGTGATGTGATGGTGAAGTTGTTAATGTAAGCTGCTTCCCAGCAACACAAAAGAGGCTGAGATGCACCGAAGATGCACAGAACAAAATGGTCATTTATGGGTATTTATGCTTGCTGGAAGACAGATACTGCACTCATAAATGTTCTTCTTGTGAGATGTCACAGAGATTTGAAAGAGAAATAATGAACCCACCTTGTTTCACACGATATTGAAGGTGTGATCATTCTTTTAATAATCACTCCGTAACTTAATCATTTCTTTGAGAGATTTACAAGTCCAATTTACATAAGAAATGCAAATGTGATGGTCTAAGAGTCTTTTTAATGAGGCAAATGTGCTCATTTATGTTCGAAATATAACAAAGAGAGGTGAAAAAAAACCACCAAGAAACGGAACACCTTGTCTTTGCCCATGGAAAATTTTTCACCGTGAAGTGTTGAACAAAGGCCTTCAAACTTCCTGGAGAACCCTTGCCTTCCAGAGGCTTTTTGATATTTCCTGCTCTTTATTGAAGCAAAGAGTTAAAATTTTAAAAAGGTGCAGACTGAGTCTCTTGTTCTTAGAATCTCTTTGTTTAGTGATGTCAATAGTTAGAAAAATGCAGAAAAATAGCAAAAATTTTCATTCCTTTGTCTTAAGTATCAGAGATAAGTAAATTTGTGGTTTAAATAGTCTTTTTAAAAACATGATATTTTAAACAAGCTGTTTTATTTCTATGTCACCTGACTTTCTGAACAGACCAGTAGTCATTAAGAAGGATCTTTATTTCCATTACGTCTGGAACTGATAGCAGCTATCCCTTTTTTTGATTACTTTAAAGGATTGCATATTGAAATATTGAGGTGCAAGATTTTCATTCAATAGCTTAGTGCATATCCATTATCTGACTGAGTGGCATAAAAATTATGTGGTTCAGTTGTTCCTTCATAGAAGATTTATCTGACAAATACTTTCCTAAAGCAGCAGTCCATCATCAGTACCACTCTCTCAGGTTCCATCTCATCGGGAAGTATCACTATCAGAAGCAGGAATAAGACCGTGTCCTTTCACTGAAACATGAGCAAAGCAGTGGATGCAAAAAATCCGGAAGAAAACACAGCACGACAAAGGGCTGCTATAGAGGCATCAGCCTCTGCCTCAGTATAGCTCAGTCTGTATTAAGTGCTGTGATGGCTATATTCAGTTCTGGTTTTGAAAGAATAAGCTGGACCTTTATCACATAGAAATCTGATGCCACCCTAATATTCTGTATTTGGTATTTTTGGAATTGCTGTTTGTGTGCTATGGAGGAAAGTGCAAACAATTTTCCAGCAAGTTATTATTACTCATCAGTTTTTATTCCTGATGAATGAGGATGCTTCAGATCATAAATCTTTGACTGGTCCAGGCTAACTGTTGCCACTCCTGGGCTTCTAGCCAGCATAATTTTGTAGGGAGGAATTACACAACTTGATGAGAAAGAAGTAAATAGTCCTGTGTTAGCAGCTATTTGAAATAGCAGCTGTTTAAGGCTATTCAGCAATGGGGGATAGTAGCAATATTACTGGGCAAACTGTAGGTGGTTACAATATGCACGTATTGCCACATGCTGTGTCCTCTTTGTCTAATGTGAAAATTTTCCTTTATTGGTAAATGCGATGGTGATATTTAATAGTGGTCACTGCTGAAGTACTTGAACAGATTCTGATAATCTGTCTCCATGCAGTATGGAGCATGGATAAGGAAAGGAGTGTCTAACCTTTCATATTTTATACTCTCCAGGCACACAACTGTGTCCCCTATTCCTAATAGTGATGCTATGTAATGGGCCTGATGCTAATATATAGAGAATGGAATATGTGCAGTCTGTCTGCATGCACCCACACACAGGTCTGGGGCATGATGAGTTGGAGGACAAGCTGAGGGTCCATGCAATGACCATGGACTCAAATATCCATGAGAAAAGCAGCATAACTGAAAGTGGCATAAATATGTGTTTGCAGGTCTCACATGGATGGTGAACATTGTTTGGGCTGCAGTGAAAGAGCTGCTGCATTTTGTCTCTTCTGCAGCCTCATTCTTACGTATGTCAAAGAAACTAAAATAACACCAGTTGTTCATTTCCCCTTTCCTCACAGAACTACCTCCCTTGTTACCATTTTGTCCCGAGGTCACTAATGTGAGCTGTGGAATATAGTGCTCTGATCCGTGCAATTCTAAGGACGATTAGATGTAGAAACTCCCTAATATTGAAAGCTTGGATCTGTCATTTCCCAAGAAATTATAAGTGGTTTTTTCCTTAGTCTTGAGTAGATATGTGATGAGATGTTAAAATGTCAACACCTTAATTTATAGAGAATATCTTAAGTTATTTAAAAGGTTTGGGTTTTGATGGTTTTTTTCTTTTTTTCTTTGAGTTGTTAGAGCTAATTTTTCTGTCCCTCTAGGGCTTTTACATACTATTTAGGTTGTCTTTACCAATGCAGGAGTATAAAAAGAGAACAATAACAAATTTTATAAGTGTTGAAAATAGAAAGGAGAACAAGACAGTATTTTTCCTCAAAAGTGTATTGCATTCAAAAAAAGTTTATGATATTAAAGTTTTATTATCTCTCTTTTGTTTTGAAATGTACATATTCCCATTAGGAATTAATGCAACCTTTCCAAACAATATAATAAGACATAAGAATATAAAACTAAGTAAGGGATGATGATTTTCTGAGCTAATTTATTTTTTACATCAAAATTAGTAGTGGTTGAGGTCACCCTAAATTCATTTTTTTTGACATTTTAAACTTGCAGAAATAGCCATTTTATTTTTCTTTGTATTAAGTGAATACTTTTTAAAAAAACAACCACATGTACTTGGACTTAGTCTCCTTTGCTTGGGAGAGACTACATATTTTATTAAAACAGTGGCATTTTCACAAAGCAAAGCATTTGCCCTAGTATCTGTTTAAAAGAATAATGAGAAAATTATACAAATTTAATAAAGACATGAACCTTTTGTTTGGCGACATAAGGTAGTGTGAAGCCTTGCCTTTCAGAGCAGAAACTATTTTCTGCCTCTGGAAATTTGGGCCATCTCCTCTTAGACCGCTGTGCAGCTGCTGGCTAACCTGGCTCTTCCCGGAGTGCTACCCACTCTCTGCCTGCTTGTCACCGGAGCATTTACCCTGGCTGCTCACCTGCCTGCAGTGGAACCTGCCAAGCCCAAACACTGTCCTGACCTGTTGGAGCAACCATCTGGAAGGGGGCAGACGCCATTATTCAAAAGTATTTTAGTAGATGGATTTAGGGGCATTAAAAGCTCCCAGCAGGAACACAGACCCTGCCACATGGTTGGTGAAGCATCTGTCCTTGAAGAAAATGCTGCCTGTCTCAGGCAACAGACATAGGATATGTATGACAAACAAAGAGAAACAGTGCCTTGGAGTGGGATGGTGCCATGGCATTTTTTCAGCTGCTGCCAATGGGAAAACAACACCTTGAGTAATGGGGTTCCTCTCCCCTATGCTTCTAGTCCCGTACAAAGGGCAATTTCTTCCCATCTTCCATCTCATGGTAGTGTCTTACGTTGGAAAGTATTTCACAAAGGGAGGGGAAAAATAGATAAGGAAGGCAAAAAGTTAAAGCAGATGCAGTATGTGGGAGGAGAGATTGTCTGTTCCATGTCTGGGGAGGGAAAAAAGGTCTTTCCTGCGTGACCCTGACTGCTGTCTTGGAGCATAAGGTGGAGCAGTAAATTGTATCTCCAGCCCTGCTCTCTCACTCTCCTGTGGTACCTGTGGATATGTCTGCTAATGGTGGCTTTTAAAATACTTCAGAGGTCTGGACAGCAAAAGAATTTGTTAATGTGTTACACAGAGCTTTTCAGCTGCCATTTACCACCAGGCAGACAATGACCTGTGCAAAAGGATTTGGCAGTGTCAAAACATTGTCCAGTATTTTAAAAGCCTTGTTTAAAAGCTCAAGATTTTCTGCTTCACAGCTCATTTTTTTTCTTGTCTCATGGTAATGAATTAACTGTAAATATGAGTGGCACCCCAGCGAAACAATAGGCTAGGGTCATGCAGGGTGTGACCTTAGCAGAAAAGATGAGATTCCTTCCTGAGAATCTCTCATGAAGTTAACTTTGGAATGTTTACCAACTACCTGTCTTCACAGGCAACAGCAGGATTTGGCCCTGTCTTTTTATAGTGAGTAATCAGCTGTAAACGCATAGATTTCAATGGAGTTAGTAACTGAAACTGGTGCAACAAAAGCTCCACTTGCCATAAATGTTATGGAGAGATGACAACCAACAGACTGAACAGATCTGTTTCTCAGTGATCTCTCAGGCAGGGGAGGTAACCAATCTGTTCCGTGCTGCTTTGGGCCATCTGAGCTTCCCTTAAGAATTTAGATTTCCATATAAGTTGCATTCAGTTTTTATTCATATTGGCTTAGAATATGTTTCATGTCATTTTTTTTTTCTGCAGTAATAGTAAAAATCTGTTTTTCTTCCCTAACTATGTGCAGGCTGGCATGGCTTTGACTTATGATCCAACAGCTGCTATACAGAATGGGTAAGGAATGCATGTTTTCTTATGCCTTTTTAAAAATTATTTTGAATGTCATCTTCTATTTTCTCTTTCTGTGGTGAAACTTTTTCAGAAGCAAATTGACCCAGTCATATTTTGTCTGAAGCATGTAAAGCTATACTGTCAAGTTCTGCTTTTAGTTTCCCTTTTCTTTTTATGCCCTCTTGTTTGCAATATCTTTTTGAATGGGAAGCTGTTTTTCCTGATAGTTTCCATCTCTATTTGCCCAATGTGAGTGGATGTTTTTTTAATCTCTCTCTGTCATGAAGTGGAAACCAGTAAAGTTTTCCTTTACTGACTTTGCTTTTGTTAAAATAATCATTGAAGATTCCACTGTATTTTGGATAATAGAGCTATTACTTCATCTGGGGCTCTCTCTGCAGGCTGGCTAGCATCCATGGCATTGTCTGAATAAAAATGCCAGATAGGGAGAAAGCCTTGAATTAGTGTGTAAGCAGATGGAATTCAGGGGTAAAATTCTGAGCAACACTCTTCTTCATTTCTCAGCTACCATTTGCTGACACAAGGATTTGCAACTTTTTCTCAAATTGAGCAGAGAAATTACATCATCACATTATTTACCTGCATGATTGCAGTTCCAAATATTTCATGAACCAGAAAAAGATATCCTTGAAATCTAGCTCTCCTTTCGTAGAGGTTAACAACAATTTGAAAAGAAGCAGGAGGTTTGGCCCTGAACCCCTTGACAGTCACTCTTTGATCAGAGAGATGTTTGATATGATTATTAAATTCCATGCATACTCCCATCTGTGTTCTCCAGCTGAATGGGAAAATTTATTGATGTAGATGAGAATGACTTTATTTGTTAAATATTTGTTAGAGCACTTCTAGTTGAAACATTTAGGAAAAAAACTAACATTCCCACTAGTTAAAAAAAAACCTACTAAAATCAATAGTAATAGTCTATTTTGATTAATTACACTTTACAAGCAATGGTTTTGTAGGACTCGTGATATTCCCATGTGTGGAGGAAGAGGCCAAACTCAGAAGAAAAGGTAGTTTGTTTGGAGTTGTGATTTCAGATTCCTCTGCTTCTGTTTCCCTGTTTTTACCTCCAAATGAGTTTTTCTCTTCTATTGTTATACTTTTCAGCTGGTAAAATATTATAGTCTCTGAATAAAATCATCACTGGTTCATAATCCACCAGTGTTTCTTGCGAAAAACTGGCTTTTATTTCAAATAAATTCCTGCATGTCAGTTATGTGAATGTTTTGGAAACTGTAATTTGAATGATCCTTTGTGATTAATATTATTTTAATTCAAGAATAATTTTTTGAAGTTATGAAAGTTGTCTCAGAATCAGACATGATTTGTATCAACGAGCATGCACGGTGTTCAGGTCAGACTGCTCGGATGGTTTGGTCACTCAATCGTTTGAACACGCTGTCACTGATCATTTGGAAAAGAAATTGTATACAACGGAGAATTTCAGCTGTGCAGTTTTTAAATATTCTTTTATTTGTAGAGCAAGAGATATACTACAGTACCAGATATCTGTCTAAGAGTGACAATTAATTACTGCTTTGACGTATCTCTTCTTTCTAGAGTGTCAAAATATTTTCAGTTTCATCAGAACTAAACCATCATTCAAAATGCTCTTGTGGTGAGAACTTGATTGTATGCAGTATCAAAGAAGCTCTTACTATGCAGAAAAATTTGTCCATCAAAAGTTATGCAATTGTTTTCCTGTCCTGTTACACTGGATTTTTTTAATCTGCCCAGGCATTCACATAGTCGTCTCTACATATCCTGTAGATATATATTTTTATTATTTTTCATAAACCTCTTTACTTGCAAGAACATTGAAAATCTCGCTCGTGGGGTTTATTTTAGTTAAGTCGATGCTTTTTGCTTGTAAAATATGTAAATGCAGTCTGTTGCTTGCTGACACGAGACACAGGCATCATAGCAGTAGTGTGGCCATGGTGCAAGAGACTTAAAGGCTCTTAATGACTATGAAGTAAAACAGGTTAACTCAGTTATCGGTGAAGGGACATTAGGCAAACACATTGATATTCCTCGTGGTGAGGGCAGTCTGGAAGTGAGCACAAAGCTGCTGCTTACAGCCCCCCCTGTGTTGATGCTGTACCCACACCCCCTCTTGCACGAATGATGCTGCATAATACTTTGGCAGTAACATGGGTAAAGCTGTTAAGGTTTACATGGAGCAATGTTATGCAAAGGTCTGTAAAACAAAGGCCACTTCCTTGTAGCAGGTCTGGTCTGTGCAGCAGTCGGGACAAGCAGGTGCTGACCTGCTGTGATAAGCATGAGTTGCACAGATCTGTGTGTGCTGGTGCTCCCACTGGGTGTGGAGCTTAGTGAACTGAGGCTGGGGATGGGAAATGTAAAAGATAACCAAGTTGAGGTGATGATTCAGAAGACTTATGAATTACCAATAAAACTTAAGAAGAAAGATTAACTGCACATGCTGACATCTACTAGAGCTCTCTATTGGGTCGATAGATGCATTTTGATACATGTAAGTTGCTAAGTCCACAGAGGATTATATGGACCATGAAAGTCTACTAAAGAGACATGTCTCTGCAGGTATCATGGTATTTAAAATGTACGGTTCCTTAAGAGGTGTGGATTATATTAGGTTTTGAGTTGAACCATAACCAAACCTTAGGGAAGAATCTGCACTCTTGTTTCCAAGTGAAAAGATGGGTTCTCATTGCTCATGGTGTAGTACGATCACTTTTATTACTGTATAACTGCATATTTGCCTTGAAAATCTATAGCAGGAATAAAACAAAAGAGAGCGAGAGACTTTCACTAAAAATAACTAAGATTTTTTTTCCCCACTAAGCAATAGATAATTTTCTTCAGAGTCTATTACATTGTAAAGCTTGATTCTCCATTTCATTATATTGTTTTTATGCCCACGTAGCTCTGTTTAAGCATCCAGTGGAGTTACATCAGCATAAAGCTGGTATAATGGAGTGGAGAATCCAGCCCGTAGTGTACCATAGCACTGCAGTGTGAGTTACTGAAGATATGGTAAGCATACGCTTCAGTAGATAAGCACTTTTCACCTAGCAATCTCTCTGTGCCTTTTTTTCGTTTAAAATCAGCCTTTTCTGAATCCCATTTACAAAGGTACTCAGGTTTTATTTTGGGGGGTAGTGTGCCTGTTGTAATATGCTATTTATTTTTCAATTTGTGGTATTAACATGGGTTTAGTAGTTCTATGCACTCATATTAAGAACAAGATAGAGGTCTTGTACTTGCATGGTAAGGAAGCTCATTTAAAATGTTCCAGAGGCTGGAGTCCTCCTGGCCATTTGTCTAAGATTGCGATGTACTGTAACAGTTTAATATCTGATATCTAGGGGACTATACTGTGCATTTGCTGGCCAATGGGCTCAATATTCAGATAGGTCTTTTCCAACTCAAACATCTGACTGTGTGGCTTATTGCAACAGAAAATTGCTGCCTTGATAATGCTCGGTAATACTCTTACATTATGTGAGCCCCAGGATACTATTTATGAATCTAACTTTTTCAGTACTGCCCGCAGGCATGAGGCATGAGCAAATGGTGTTTATTGCAGTGCAAATAGGATCTTTCTCTTGTGCAGATTCTGTGTGGAAGGTTGCATATTCCCCCACAGAATGGGAACCATATGGATTTTTTTTTTCTACTTTTTGGCAGGGAAATAGCGACCAGACACTGCAGATAATGCAGTCCCCAAATGCGAAGGGAGGGTTGATGTAGCAGGGGAGTATGTGCTTTGTCTATTGAGCAACAGACACTGTTGTTAAAACGCTGCCTCTGTGTGTCTGATGATGTACTGAAAACATGGTTCTTTTCAGCATCTCTTAAAAATGTTTTCTTTTGAGCCCTTCTTTATAAACCCCTCTTTAGGAGCATCAAGGAGCATCTTTTTGCCTCCTAGTGAGGAGTTTCCCCTGTACTTATGGCCATGCTGAAAAAATCCATTTTTAATACACGGGTCATGTCCATTTTACCTTGCCCTTGCCACCTGCATGCTTGTGCTTCTAGCATTGCAATTGCAGCTGAGGAGCAAGGACATTGTCTTATGCCTGCAAAAAAAAAACCCACATGTGAGGATGCAAACTGCATTTGCAGAAAATGCAGCTGAGCCTTTTGGAGAGCTCTCCTTGGAGCTCACAGGTCAACTACCACAATGTCTACAGCTCTCAAAATACCATACTAGATACTGTTTATTTTAATGCCAGGAAATTTGGAGGCATAATTTAATATATCTGAAATGAGTCAAAGACAGTATAACTCATATCTCTTTCCACTCCGCTTTCTGATATAGATATTCTGATAACTGAGAATCCTGTATTCCCTTGAATGAACTTACAACATGCATCTTCCACCTCATTTAACCTCTCCCTGAGCCTAAAGAAAAAAAAAAGGCAAAGGCTAAGACTGAATATAGCAAGGTCAGCAGCTGCAGATATTGTTGGCATGCTGTAGGGTTTACACCAGAACAGGCCACTGTTGCATTTTTGTTCCTCTTGTCTTTCGTTAGATCTCCAGCATGTCACTTAAGCCAATTACGTGTTAGGACATTAGCCTATTTGTATGCAAAGGGAATTCAGGGAGATGCCTCTGAGTCCCATGGTGAGGGTATGTTTGTCAGTGGGCTCTGTCATGGCAGTGCATGGCTCCAGCACTTTGGTAGGTTGAGCATCCCATACCTGAGGGTTGCTCTGCTTGGGTCTGTCAACAGCAAGGACATCCCTATCCTCACCATACCACTGTATTTCACGTGTGGCAGAGATCCACATCCTTTATTTTTAGATCCCTTTGGCCACAAGTGACACTGTGGAAAGAAGACAAGTCTTTGTCTCTTGGTGTAAGAGATTCCTGATTGAAAAGTGTTTGCCCTACAGCCTGTCACAGTGAATCAGATTATTAACTTGATTTACTATTATTATTAAAATTAAAATATATGAACATACATGAATATATGGATTTTCTCACATTGTCATTTGCAGCATCAGGTTTTCTTCCTTTCTCTTTCTTGATGCCCTAGTGCATGAATTTTCACAATATAGCTGAGTATCCTGAGAGTATGTTTTATTTGATGCTTATTTGAGAGCATTCCAAATGACGATAGATAAATGGTACTGGCAGGGGTGTTGGAAGGGCTGTATTTTTCTCATTACCATAGTGTATATTCTACAAGCTTATGTACTATTCAGATAACTGCATCTCTAAGCTGAAACTGAAACGGCAAGCTGTCTGTCAAGTTCTTGGCTTAGCACACATTTTCTGTAAATTTGTTGGTATTTGCTGGGATTTACTGGAGAGTTGATTCCAAAGAGTCAGCACTACTTCCAAATGGAAAGTTGTTTCTCCCCTATACTTGTCTTTGTCCAAGCAATTCATATGTGGTATGAGTATGAACCCAGCATCAGTGCCAGGCTGATGAATGGAATGAAAACAGAATGAACAAAATATGTAGTTTTCTCAGAAGAGTTTTGGTGTTATATTATCTTTTAGTTTAAGAGGTTTATAGGTATTTCTGTACATTATGCATTTTACCTATAAAGTAAATTCCGTCAGTCTGCAATTGATGATTTTCATTTGCTGCACACAGCATTTCTTAGTTCATCTGCTTAACGACAGCACAATACAAATGATTTCTGGTTAACATTGACCAGGGCAAAGACCCCTGTACAGGACTTAGATAGCATGCATCATGCTAATGCCATAAATGGACCTGGCTAGTGGTGTAAAAATCCTTTCTACCCTGATGTTGTGTGAACTTAATGTTTGATATAATGGGATAAAAATGCCTCTGAGTTCTCATTATACGATATATATAAAATCAGGCAAAGGCACAGTTTTAAAATAGTCTCTGTGCAAGCATTGTAAGGGCAGATAAATGGTCTTAAAATAGCATTATATTTCTATTAAACAAGAAATCAGTCAGACGCCACCTGCTGCTTTTGGCATTTTAAAATCTGATTTGGAATAGAGAGAACAAATGATTGCTTCTCTGTCCCCCTCTCCCTTCCTAACTTTGAATGTTTCCGCCCAGCCTTCAAAGAGAGCAGCCTGTTTTTCCAAGGCTATTGGTTGAAGTCAGTGGTTATTTAACCTACATCCACAATGAATGCATCCAGTCTGAACTAGACTGATTAGTACTGAATCTGTGATGCCAGGGCGATCAGGAAATAGAGCACTTGTTTAAACACCAATAATGATTTTTTTTTGTTTGTTACATAGCTGTCATGGAAAGCTAGTGTTGATTGCTTCAGAGTGGGGAGGGGAAAAAAATATAAAAAGAGAGGGAATGTAATCCACTTCACTGTGCAGAATCTTCTATTACTCATTGGTGCATGCTCTATGAGAAGGATCTACGTGAGGTTTAGATCAGACAAGAAAATGCTGCACATGAGTATTTCTGTCTGAGTCCAAAATATCATCATTTTGACAACTGGAAGACTACAAACATTCTTTTGTTTTAAGCAATTTTATTGTTCTGGCTTGCAGTTGAAAGTGAAAAAAGGGCAAATGCAAAAATCTCTACGAGCACACACATATTAAGTACTTACACAATCCAGCAATAGTGATATTTTCCAAGTGATAATTTTATCAATAATCATTAACCGACAGGGAAGGAGAAAGAATATAACATTTATTACCATCAAGCAAGAGATAGTGCAACTTCTGTTCATAGCATGCAACAGTGGAAATAAAACCAAGTCAGTCTCAGATTTTCAGTGCTGCCTGGGGCATTTAGCCTCATAATTTTTCATACATTTCACCAGAATAAGGGTTTTTTGCTCTCTGCCTAGATGAATATGAAAATTTCAGCCAGAGTTTTTGTAGCCACCCCTTAATAAAATAATTCAGGCATGTATATAGAATGTGTTATTCTCAGCACTGAAGCATTAAGATCTGAAAAGAAAACAGTACAGCATGTAAAAATGAAATCAGTAATATTGTCTTCAATATCGCGTAAGAAATTTCCTTTCAATAGCTAGCACTCTGGAAAATCAGCTGTCCTTGCATTTCAGATAATTACTTCTTGTATCATGAAGTTCTGTATTTGTGCTAGTTGAAGTGAAAAAAATATGCTTCGTGTAAATATTCTTCCTCCTTCCATTTTCAAGATCTGCTCGATGGAGCCATCACATCTTCTTTATTGTGGTTTTGGAAATAGATGGACATAAATTACCTGTGTAGACTCTTTTTGTCTTTGCCTAGGAGGCAGTGAATTAGTCAGAGCCTAAGCAGTCAAAAGGTTCAAAAAGTCTCCCTTTTGTTCTTTGTTTCAGATTTTATTCCTCACCGTACAGTATTCCAACAAACCGCATGATTCCACAGACATCAATCACACCATTCATTGCTGCTTCCCCTGTCTCTACATATCAGGTACGTCAGATTTCCGCTTGTCTACTATTTTTCCCAGTTAATTATGTTTTGGATGTGGATGAAGGCAGAGTGTATACCATAGAAAATTGTGTGAGTGCTTGCGCTCTTGAGTCACACTTTAAACAAAGGTCTTTCTAGTAATATTCAGGTATCATTGGGTATAGAGTTTTAAGTGTTTCCTGCATTCTTTACAGTAGTAATGAAAAGCACCATAATTTTTTATTTCAATCAGCTGCTCTAGAAAACAACATTTTACTTAATTTACAGCTGACAACACCAGAAAGCTTATCATTCTTAATTGAAATGTTTTCTCAGTTTGTCTCCCCTTCATTAGCCGAAACTTTTTAACTGTGTTTTTTTATCATTTATGTTGACTGCATTGTATTTTGACCTTTTGACCTCAGCTGTATTTGCTCCAGTAACAGCATCCTTTAAAAGTGCTCATTTTTATCCAATAATCCCTAACAAAAAAAATTACTCGAGGATAACTGCCCTCATATCCTTCTTTAGTCTGCTACATGCATTGTTGTTCAGAATTTCTCTTTTCAGCATATCCCTCACAGATTTCCACTGGGAAATTATTGTCTTGCTTTGGCTTTCTGAAATGGAAGTCAAAACCAGGTCGTATAGTTTTATTAGCCGTTCTCTGGGAACATAGCACTTCACAGAAGCTGGTCATTGGCTATACCTTTTCCAATTTTAGTTATTTCTGTCCTATGGCATCGGTGCTTTTCCAGTCCTGAGTCTTATCTGAAATAAGCAATCCAAACTTGCAAAGCTGAAAGGTGGGCTGTTCTTAATGTTTGGGTTGGTTTGTGGGGGGTGGGAGTTTTGAGATGGTATGGTACTGCTTACAGAGAATTCTGGGAGGTTACTGTGCTTTCAACTTGATCTTCAAAGACAAATGATTCTTGTAATTTTCTTTGACTTTTGTATTATTTTATTTTAGATGGGTATGTAACACTTACCAAACCAAAGTTGTTTTGATGAGGTAAATTCAGCAAATTTCAGTAAGTGGCAACACCAAAGAAGTGTCAGAGCCAGAGGCATACGAATGCACCTCACATGCAATTTTCTTGGTAGCGAGGCAGGCTTAAGAGTTATACTTCCTCCCTCTTATTCAGGCAACTGAATTCAGGCCACCCAGCCACCCACCCACACATCACTGCTGCACAGTTCACATTTGCTCCCCTCTTTCATTCTGGTTTGAACCATTGCATCCATTTGTGGTTTGATGCATTTGCATCAAAAACATTCATTTTTATTTTTTTAACCCATATCATTCTCCTCAGACAGGTTGCAATGTAAGCCCAAAAGCGTTTGCCCTGGCACAGAGAAGAAACTGGAAGGGTGCAAGAGTGGGAGCAATGAGCTGTGGCAGCTCTAGTGTATTTTAATTCATGGGGTTTCAAAACATAGAATGTTGTAGTAAAGGTGTGTTTTCATGTGTGTGTACTGGTTTTGGTTTTAAAGATGTTTTGAGGAACGTGCTTTTCAAGAAAAAATATACTTTGATAAATGTATACAAATGCTGAAGCGCACAGTTATACAATTAATACTCACCACTTGCTTCATGAACAAAATCACAGGGCATCTGGAGAAGTGGGACTTTGTAGCTTTCTCCTTTTTAGCCCTGATCATGTTCTGTCTGAGGTGTTACATACCCATCTCTGTGAGCTTGGGGACAGCAAGCGGGGCGCCCACTGATGTCTGTAGCACAGCTACATTTTTTGTTTACTTGTTGTGTGTTGCGGTGCCCAGACTGATACAAAAAGAGACTAAGATACACAATTCTTGGGGCTGAGTCTGAGTTATTGATAACATGTGGGCCATTCACATGTAGCACAAAAGGGAGTTATGGCTCGAAGATGCCACCACAAATATGCAAACACTCTGTAATGCGTGTAGTTGTTAGTAAAATCGTTCTATCCTTGGAATGTGTTACATGTCAGTCATAAGGCAGAACAACAAAGAAGGACTTCAGTGAGGCATATGGAGTTCTGGTGGGAATAGACCAACCCCAAGATGCCCAAGCTAAGAATGATCCTGGAGGGGAGAGACTTCTTAAGCTAGCTTTGCCATGAGAGCTTTCAATTAGAATAAGTTTCAAATACTCTGAATTAGATCTGCAGCTCTTACAGAAAACAGAATAAATAATTCTGGGATCTCTGAAAATGTTATACCTCTAAAAGTTCATACAGATACTTTTGTAAATAAACTTTGAACGTGTTATGTCTCCTGCACTCAGTTAGATGACATGTTCATGATGATATTGATAGATGAAAGGAAACAATACAAATGAAAAAAATAGGACAATATGGAATGTTGAAGACTGCTTTATGAGATAAAATGATGTGAATCATAGAAGTGGTGCAAATCTCAGACTTTTGACTTTGGTAGAAAATATAATCAAATGGAATTTGAAAGCTTTATTGTCAATAACATTATGAAGCATAAATTAATTTTGTGTTGAGTTGCACGACTTCAGTATTTTGTCAAAATTAGCACCATAGTTGTAATACAGAGAATATTTTCAAGCAAATCTTTGAGTTAACTTTTAAACTTTTCTGTGCTAATTATAAGTATTTAATATGCAGGTCCAGAGTACTTCATGGATGCCTCATCCGCCATATGTTATGCAACCAACAGTAAGTGGATACTTGGTTATATCCAGCTAAAAGTGCTTACATTGTAGCCTCTCTGCTTGTCCAGCCATATTAAATTCCTGGGTCATGGAAGAGCAGCCAGCTGCTACCTGTGACAAGAGCCCTCTGCTGTAGAGATTCTGTTCCTTTAAGGAGCACCATTTGATTTGGTGGAAACAAGAGGATGGGTGATATGTTATCTGATTGCATTGATTGTGAGAGACTAACTAGTTCTGAAGTGTTGCTTGTGAAACTCTGCTTAGGGGACTACAAGCAAGATAACTGCATTCCTTCCTACTTTGAATTGCCATGATCAACACTTTACCCTTCCCTTATATGCCTGTCCATCAAAAACTTCCTATGTAGTTGTATATAAAGGATCCTCACTGCCTCACTAGTGCATTTCAATATAGTGGGAAAGGGTAAAGCACAACTCTGAGGCACTCTCTACCAAATCTGAATCTGCATTATGATTTGATCGGTCAACTTTTTTTTTTCCCCCGAGTAAATTGCCATCTCTATCAATTTATAACTACTGCTTAAAGCTGCATTACACTTCTAACCAACATTCATTAGAAGTAGTGCAGCTGATTTTTTGTTTGCCTCACGAAAGAGTTTTGGTCACTTTGTCTAAACATTAGCAATCTACCAGAAGCAGTCACCATACTGAATTCCACTATATACAGATTGCTTTAGTTCCATTTCCTACCTTTAATCAGTTTTTCAGGTATGGATCCACTTAAGAGTGTCGTTAATCAAAATTTAAATGTGTGCTTCACATATGCATCAATACATTGATTTATACGAGGAGAGTAAAATTAAAATGAAAGTCTATGCTTAAGGATTATTTGTTATTCACATTTGGGTTCAAATATTATGACTTCACAATAGAGTAACTTCTGGTGAGAGTTTGCTGTACAACAACATGAATATAATTGCACTACATATCAGTTTAGTAGTACAGGACTCTCATCGCAATTTGAAGCCCCCTTTCACTTCCCTTAACTGTTTGGAGACAAGTTCTTTAGTTTTCTCTCACCAGGCAATGACTATAGCATGGGACTGACTGTCTCCAGGATGCCCAGTTCCTACCTCTGCAATACTGCACCTCTCTGCATCCCTTGGGGGAAATTTCCATCTCAATGAAGTAAAGCTGCTGCTGTGTTCCTTGTAGGGAGACAAATTGTATTGAACAAATTCACAGTTACAAATCAGTCCTGTATTCTAACATTCGGATTTAATTGCAGGCCACAAGATATCTTAGATATGTAGATATGATGAGTTATGAGACTTGTGGAAGTCTCTGATCCTTGCAGAAAGACTCACTTTCTAAAAGAAAAACCTAAGCACTTTACCAATCCCAGTTTTTATTTGACAATATTCAGCAAAGCATTTTTCTGCAGTACTAGAAGAGGCTTTCTGGTGTGGTTATCAAATGTATTTACTCCTTGCTAAGGTCATGAAAAGAAAACTATCTTTTATAGTGAGTGGCATCCTCAATATGCCAAGTTCATTGTCAGCGAGAGAGTCATGTCAAAAAAAGGATGTGTGCTTCTAGGTGGAAAAGCAGAGGGGCAGTGGATAAGTGGTGTAATACTTCAGTTCCAGTGTCATTGACATTGTGGAAACACTTACATGGTTTTCTGGAGCAACCCTGGTCTCTTCACCAAAAGATTTTTCCCTTGTGTTTCCCAAAACTATGTTCTTAAGTAAGTGGACATGAGGCATTTAGTACTGAAGAAGTATAAAAGCAAAAAGGCAGAACTACCATTCCCCAGGTTTCATTCAGAGATGAATTCTTTATTAGAAATACCTGAAAAATTGTCAGAGTATTACTACACAGAGGACTCATGAGGCTTCAGAATTGATGGTCTGTTTTAAAAGAAAATAAAGAATATGTGTCCATTTTAAGTTCACTGTAGTTTCATGCCTAACTATAGACTCTATTGTAGGCACCTCCATCGCTTAAAAAATAAAATGAAGAAAAGATTACAATAAAGTTGGCAGAATTTAGGATGTGAGTTTTGGTAACCCCATGAGCTGATGAAATTGGGAATTTTCTAATTTGGTTAGTTGTTTTTTCTTCTTGTAACTTAGTTTTCCATGTTATTATCTAAATTGCCACCACTTTACTTCATAATATTTTATAAGGTGATTGACTGTCGCACATGATGTCCCCCTGGAAACCACTGCAGATAAATATTACATTCCTCTTGCCCCAGGAAGAAGAACATTTTGTTAAGCCTCTGTTATTCTTTGTAAGTAGAGATGAACTCATATAGAAAGCACAGTTTGAATTGCTCAGACACTGGTGGTTAATTCTTTGTTTTGATTATAAGTATCCACTAAATCATGTTACTAGATGATTAGCTTTTCATTTCCAACAGAAAGTCCTACTTCATATTTATGTATAATTTAACATCACGTACTGTCCCTCATGGCAGAAAAACAGTCAGAACCATGCTGTAAAGTAGACAAAGGAGGGTTTTCATTCTGCGTCCTGTGCACACACAGGGCACTCTTATCCTAGACAGGCAAGCTTGCCCACAGAGAGAAGAGCTGTGCCGCACAGTGCTACCATCCTGTGTCTGCCTGCCTCTTCTCTGCCTGCCCACCTCATCTCCCTTTCTACCCACCTCCATTTGCAGTAAATACCAAGTCCTTTCTTCAGTGATATTCCTGTAATAGGATGGCCTGCCAGACGTGTCACTCCTTTATATATCAGTTTCAGCTACGTTTTCCTGATGTGTGCATGTGTGCATTCTGTATCCATTTACTTGGTGGTTTAAAAACTTCACTAAAGTAAAAGATTGTATCTTCAATTCTTTCTCTAGCTTTTTAACTACAACCACATAAGCCTCTGACCCTAACAAACAAAAATGACATATATATTAACTAGAAAATATTTGCATATATTGCTTTCCATTTCCCAGCCTTGTTTGTCTTCTTACTTTTGTGATCCCTTAAAAACAGATAACAACCAAAATTTCATTCTCTGAGAAAATAACAGTCAGAAAATTTTTGTCCTAATGGGAGAAAGTCAGACGGACAGTCAAGGAGTCTGCAGGTATACAATTGATATTGTAGGTTGATGCGAATACAATTTAAAGGGGTTTTATTTTTTGTTATCAGTGATTTTTGCTGATCTTATGCTAAGAGCCATGGAAAAATAATATCAAATAGGTTGAGGTAGTATTGCTATTTCTGAATAAATAGTATTAAAAATATGCTGGCATAGTAGGGTCACACATGAAAACTTCTCACATCTTTGTGCTTGCACAACCTTCAGAGTTTTGGAAAACAGGATTCCTGAATCATGTGGACATGATGAAAAATTTACCTTGAGGCTCATGTGTGACTCAGACACTTCTGAAAAATGTACCCTTTGTAAATTGAACCTTCACCACTTTTCCCCATATTGACTGCGCGGTGTCCAAGTAAGAATGACTAAAATTTGCCGGTTTTGTTGCTTTGCTATGTGCCCTGGTCACTCTCCATAGCTGTAATGGAAGACAAGCTCCAAAAGAGCTATAGCAGTATGGGTGTGGATTAAAATTGGCATAATGTTTAATGCACTGATGGCAGTCTGGGCTCTGTTTAGTTAACTGTAGCTTTCAAAGTACAATGCTCACTCTTCCCTACTTGAAAAAAGTCTTGTATTTCATTACTGCCTCAGGATAAGGGTAGATGGATAGTGATGGCAGAATCAAAACATAAATAGGATAAGAGTTATTCTGGGGATTATAACATTTGCTGTATTATTGTATTTTTCCTGTAGTCCCTGGAGGCTGTCTGACAGTTCAGGGTTTACTTTAAAAAAATGTGTTTATAGTAAATTCACATATAGACAATCTCATTTTTTTGATTCAAATCTTTTTTACAAAAAATGCATGTACTCTTCCTCTTTAAAGGCAATTTTTTTTGGTGAGCCAACAGAAATATCCTACCCTAATAGTCAATGTACACATTGGTTTTACACTTACGCTCTTTTATTTGCAAGTAAAACAGTGTGACCATAAGTAATCACTGGGTATGCACAGATATGTGTTCTTGTCAGTCTGGAATAGTTTCTACGTAATAACTGGAGTACGCCAGTGGAGCATAAAGGGTGCAAGCAGGGTAGCATATGGTAGCATTGATAATGATAAAGGGTGTTGGGGAGCACTTCTCTTCTGCATGTTTCTCAAGCCCTTACAGCCCTTTTAGAAAGGTCAGTGTCTTAAAAACACTTATTATTTTTTTCTGTCTTCCTTCCTCTGGCTCATGGCTGAATGAAATCTGTCTTTAAAAGCAACAACAAAAACGTTTCATAATCAGTGTCAAACCCCTACTTTGGTGAGAAGTGAGGCTGAGTAAGGACTCCAAATTCTTGCCTTTTTATTGTTGTGCATGAATGTAGCATAAAAGGTACAAATTGTTCAACTGAAATATATCAGTTTTCATTTTCTCACTAGTTACTTTGCTTTTTTGGATAATACCCAAAATACCACAGCAGTTTCAGTGTTTTGATTCCTACACTCTGGAACAAAGAAGTTCCTTGTGCTCCAATCCACATCCCTCTCCCAAGACAGCTTTCTCCACCTCACATTTATTCCCCTACCTCTTTAGTAAACAGAGCCAGGACTCAATCTTGAGTTTGCCTGTTTGAGTGTAAGGAAATAAAGGATGTCCTTTGCAGACAGTTGAGTCCTGCTTCCAAGATGAAATGTGAGAATTCGGCTGGCTGGTATAAAAAGTAAACAGGAAATAATCCTTAGAAATTGGAATCTCCAGCTAGTCTTTTAACTTTTAGCTGTATATTTTTAAGAGATCCTTTGAACATGAACTTACTTGAACTTTTAAGGCTAAAGTGTTTAGAGGTTGAAATAACTAACCAAACACCAATGACAAAGTTCTGCTGAACAATTTTAATTCCAGTGTTTCCCGAGACAGAAAATTGAAGACTGCCGATTCTATAACAGATAATCAAGACAGTAATTGTTAATGTTCGTTTGGGGTAGGCA